CAATTTTTTTTTTTTAGTACAACGGGAATTGGGGGGATGGAGGTGGGGTATTCGCGATCTGGATTGATTGAGATTTTATTATTTTTTAATTTAATTTAATTTAATCGGTTAATAAAATTTTAAAATCAATTTAATTTATTATTATGTGATAGTGAAATTAATCTAATTTAAATCGGATTAGTGTGATTCAATTGGATTGATCAATTTTTAACATTATTAAATATATAAGATAATGTAAAAATATTTTAACATCAAATAGAAAGTATAACTATAAAATACATTAATATTTAAATCAGTAAAAACATAATAATATGTAAAAATTATAAACAAATTGTTATATTAATTTACATTTATAAAAATTGAAAAACTCTGAAAATTCTTCTTGATTACATCATTAAAGGTACTAAAAACTATAAAAAATAATTTCAAAATTTTAACACAACATAAATAATTCTTTAAGATTAAAATTAGTTTTTTTTTTTTCTTAATGCACTAATAATTTAATCTCATTTTTTAAATCCTATTAAAAGTGAATAACATTTAACATGAATATTACTAAAATTGAGTAGAAACATTTATAATCAAAATTTAAAACTTTTAAACTAAATATCCAAAAATAGTAGAATATTAGGATTAATTTTATTATATAATTTTAAGGTTTTTAGAATGATACTTATTTAAAATTTAGTTAGTACATTCATAAGATTATTTTAAAAATAAATTTAAAATTTAGAGTTGTAAGAGTAAAAGTGCAAATCAGTTCTGAGACGATAGAGTTGCAGGTGAATTAGAAATTTAGAATTGAGATTAGAGTGCATGATTAAAATGGATAAATAATTTAGGGAATATGAAGATATTCTATTTTTATTTTTTTTAATTAAGTTAATGGAGTTATAATCTTGTAAAATAAGAAAAAGAAAATTTAAAATACTACAAAAATATTATTTAATTAAATTATCTTTTAATCGGACTTTATTTTGTAATCGGGCAGTTCGAATGGTTTAAAAGTAAAATCACGAAACAAACTAATTATATCAGTTTTAAAATTTTAGAATTCAAATCAATTCAATTTTATATTAGTTTGTATCGGTTTTTGATTGAATTGGATCAATTTAAGTCAAATCAATCAGATTGATCGAATATGAACACCTCTAGATGTAGGTCAAGGGATTTGAACCCCGATAAGATAGGTGAAACAATCATTCAGGGACCAAACAAGCCACATAATAAGAGTTTTGAGACCATGTAACTCTTTCTAATTCCGTTAACGATCAAAATATTTTAGTAGTCATTTATTTCCTTTGAAAACAAGTGATTATGAGTTTGAGTTGTATGATATACGGATATGGTGAGATAAAAAATAGGCGATAGTTGCCTCCATTGTATAATAATCATAAAAAAAAAAACTTTACTGTACCAAAACCATCAAGGCACTTTACTGCAACTTGAGCACTTCTAGGTAATTTTCCTTGAAAAACACAACCAAATCCTCCCTCGCCAAGCTTCTTGCTGAAGTTGTTGGTTACAACCTTTAACTCTTCATAAGAGAATCTCATGGGCGCTCTTGATATGTGACCCAGATAATCCTCCTCAACATCCTTTGCATCCTTATTCATTTGAAGGAAAAAAAAAAAAGTGTAGATAAGAAGCACACTAAGAGTGACTCCAAGAGTGGATCCAACTACAACTCCTACATTCTGTCTTCTCTTTCTTTGTGGAATCTGTGCTGGTGATGAACGATTACGTTGTGGAATCTATGCAATTGGAGAATTTTGCACCTTTAAAAACAGAGATTGATTTAAATGTGCATGCGCTCTCTTAAATGACAAAGCTTTAGATCTAAGAAAGTAGTAGCCAGGATCTGAGTAATTTTTATCAGAAGGTTGAAAAAGAGCATACATACAAGAACAGTTCTTTAAACAGGCTCTCTTGCAGCTCTTTATGTCTGTTCTGATATAAGCAGGAGAGTTCAAACTTGACGAAGCAGGGTAATCTATATCCTTCAGCACAAAAAGACTCTGCCATTGAGGAAACTCACCAGATATTGGATTATCTGGATAACACCCAAGATTTGACCGTGAAGTATCTATCAACCTGAAAAACATAGGTCCACTTTTTTCAACCGGTTATCGGCAACTGCATCCTTCTTCTAGACAAATTCCATATTTTCCGTAGGCTAGTGGGTAATCACATCAATTAAGTTGATCCCCAAAGAAATCATCAACTTCCTCCCAGTTTGATTCTACCCACCTGAAGAACCTTAAGTGCCCATCAGAGCCTAATTGTGTAAAACTAAATTCAAATCCTATAGAAGAGAGACCAAAAGTCATGTTCCTCACCTCAGCATAAAATTGCCCCGTTTGGCCTATTTTTTGAGACCCAAGGTATTGATAATAGACTACGGTAGTGTCGACTCCGCAGAAGCTACAAAATAACCATAATTATCAATTGAAAATGAAAATAAACCCTCACTCCAATTTGTGGTTGAAATATTTGCCACCACTTTCTGCCCAAAAACTAGCCTCTGCCCAATAACCAAAGAGTTTATCGGATGATCAAAAGACTGCCAAACCGTCTGATTGTTTCTATCAAACAGTATAAGGTTACCCTGATGAGTTAACTTCATTCCTGAAACAAATTTACCTGTTGTGTTTGTAGACCAAACCAGAGTGTCATGATCATCAGTGTTAAATCCCCTTCTTGAGAAAATTGCAATTGTGCCCCAAGTCCAATCGGCTTGTTTCGATTAGCAGACCATACCATTTGTGTAGAAAATTTGAAGTTGCTATCAAGTTTAGGTTGGAAGATGGAAATAGCAAAGAGGCGGGGGGTTCCTTCAAATTTGCAGTGGAAGTCACAAACAAAACTCCCATTAACCAAGATAGGTCTCACCCATGCTGATTCCCAAAAACTGAAGTTATTTGGTACGATGTTAGTCCAAGAGACGGATGGCATCGCAGTTGATGGATAACCAAAAGCTTCAACATTTGTCAGAAGCAATGATATTAGAAACAGAGATAGAAAGGTAGCAAGAAAGCAGACGGTATTCCTTCGCCCACCAACTACCATTGCTCTTATAATTGATTGCTCCAATGTTATATAATTGAGCTGCAAGACAAGTTAAATGAATTAATAAAAAAACAAAATACAAAGCAGGAAGGACTGGTATGATAGTCAGTAGATTTGTTTTTTCCTTAGATGTAAACTTCGCTCAGCACTCAATGCATAAACTTCGAATTCCTTAGTCATAATAAAAAAATTAAAATAAAATTAAGAAACTTATTTTTGACAAGTTTGAAATAAATAAATTAACTTTATGATTTGATCATATTTTTTATTAAATTAAAAAATAAAAACAAAAAATAGCTATTACTATTTCTTCCCTTAAAAATGATTGCTCCGTATGTCTCTCATAATCTAAAACAAAATTATCAACTCGAAATTATACATATCCATATCTCAACTAATACTAGAAAACTATGGGACAGAAATTTCCTTTTCTTTTGTTATTATATTGGAGGAAATTTTATGATTAGAAAAAATAAAAGGAAAACTCACCTTTGCAAATTGCAACAGAGACAAAGGCCAAATTTTCTTCACATCTCCTGCATTCTTGTCGATGGAGATATATGCTAATCCCTTGGCGCACTTCCAACCAAAAGGAAGCGCTTTGTTTCTGCAGGATAAATTCTTTTAATTAGCAATATAGACTTATAATTCTAAGTCAATTTAAGATGCCGAATCATTGCATTTCAGGGTTATAAGAAAATGAAAGCACTCCCCTTTTTGGTTAAAACCCCAAATTTGGTCTCTCAACAGTTCCTCAACTTAAAAATCCTTCATTTAATCCCTAAAATTTGACATTTTGGCTTTTCTGTCCTCCGTTAACTATTTGCTTACGTGTCGTTAACTATTTGCCTATGTTTCTTGTTACCTAACGGAAAACAACTTTTTTTCTTTTTACATAAACATGAAAATTGTATGTTTGCCCAAAAGAAAACCCACCACCAAATCAATTTAGCAAAGAACAATCTGGCGCCCAATCCCTAAAACAAATAAAACAAAAAACGAAAACCCAAAAAACCCTAGACCCATAGAATCTAAAATCTGCAACTCCTCCGGCAGCGGCACAATCGTGCACTGTCGAAGGAACCAAGACCCAACTCCAATCCGTTGACCACACTCTGGGGAGCCCATATTTGCATCGCATGAGTTAGGG